TTATATTCATGAATAAAATAATATTTAAAATTATATTTAAATATAAAATATTTATCGAGAAATAATTCTTACATAATATATTTAAATATATGATCTCTCTAGGAACTTTTCCTTGTCATATTGGTATAGAGTGGATAATATGCGCGGACAAAGAAATTACTTACGGCGAGAAAACTGGTGAAAGAAATGTTGATCACTTTAACTGCCATGAGTTTCGTAGAGTATTTAGCCATGAAGATTATTATATAGGATAACGAGCTTCTTTATTATGAAGGTAATACTAATCGACTATGTGGCAAATATACTTCATTCCCCTACTATACGAAGTGCAACATGTATAGTATTAGCATTTTTTACTAAAATTTTACCTCTTCCCTTAAGTTTATTATATTTTTTTAAGCATGTTATTTATTACTTTTTAATACTATATTTTATATTTATATACTTTTCCGATTAGTAATAATTTTTATATCTCTATATTTTTATTATGTATCCTACTGACTAATTAAAAGTTTCCCAATATAATATAATATCAAAATATTGACGATAAAAGATACAAGCATTAAGTAATATATTACAGAAAATAGTGTGTCATTTGATTCTCCCTAAAAAATATATTAATATTTAACTGCACACATTTCTATTTAAAAACTAAAAGCAATGAGCACGAAAGATTTGTATATTCTATTGAAGATAAATATAAGATGTCAAATGCACTGTTGTTGCGTATACCATGTAATATCCTAAAAGACGTATTAAAGTATTTCCAACAACTTTGAAACAACATATTTCTCATATCTGATGTGAAAATGTATATTAGACTTTTTAAATATAAAATATTAATAAAAATCTTTAACTGCATAAGGCTACCAAATAATTCAAGGATTAAATTTACCCAAAATTTTTCTAAATTTAATTTGCAACAAATAGAGAGTTGATTCCAAAAAGCATCACAAACAAAATTAATAGTATTTCAATGTAAAATTTTCATACTTCGAGACAAATTGTAAACCTAAAAAAAAATTTAGAATCAATCGGGAAATAAGTAATAATTCAGCTACTTATTTACGTATTCTTATGTGACACGACAATCGCTATCAATTTTAGAGCAATGGCGCATTTCGATAATTGATTTTCTTGTGCAAGTTCTCCAGCCAGATCATCAACATTTTGAATTCCTCAACCGTGCATGATGAATAACGCCGTGATGCCGCAAACGCTGGTTGATATGATATGTATTACGATGCTAGTTACCAAATGCGTCGAAAATATGATCTCGTAACCGGAGCCCTCTGACAAGTCTCGTCTATTTTCCGGATTTGTTCACATTCGGCCTCACATCGATTACTGCCATAATCAATTTGTGCACCTGCACGGTCAATATCATCTTTTCTAATTGAAATTCCATAAATCCATCCGTTCGATCAGAGCATGCATATAGATAAAACGGAAAAATTCTTGTTCTTCTTCTTACGTTGTTCATGAAACGTATTAGTATATATAAATATATAAAATCGCAACTAACAGACGAAAGTATAACAACTTGATTTGTTTTATGCACGTTTTCGCGTCTGCATGAATTACCGCCGTTATCACAGAGGTTTTATCATGGCGTAGTTTAAAATTTGGAATAAACGATTGCGTGCGCGCAATTTTTTGTCGACAGAAGATAATTATGGAAAAGGATCGATTCACATGAGACGGTCTATAACAAAAGTTCAAATATCTACCTTATATTAGGTCATGGGTTGTAGATCGAAGATTATATTGAATCAACAGAACTACGCGAATTTTTAATTATGTCAAGTTTAATATCTTGATGTATCTGATTTTCAAAATTAGGAATCATACGTGTAATTTTGTTAATAAAAGTTAATAAAAATTAGAAATCTTAAGTGAATGTAAAATTTGTCGAAAAGTTGGTTGATTTGTTACGATAGTTGTTATAAGTAGAAAGGAGAACATTAGGATTAATAAGAAGATTGGTCCTTCATCTTGTTAATCGTTTCAAAGATAGTCAGTTCAATTACAGATTAATATCGAGTATTGTACTGTTATAATAATTATTTCATCAAAATTACGCAAATTTTAGGAGCATATTAAAGTACGCCATCGATGTTTTAACAATCTGTGAAATAATGGAACAGGCAAACAATTCACTGCTTGCAAATAAAATAAAACAAACTTCCATACTTACGTTACTGAAAGTAGGTAGAGATATGTCTATCATTCTGCCTGCCGAAATTTTTGCCGGAATATTGGAAACTGCCATTATCAATATTAAAGAACGGGCTCTTTTGTACTGAAGATGATACCAATTTGTCGTGGACGTCATTAATCCAACCTTGATACTCTGTTATAATTAAATAAGATGTATATTTTATAAAGAATGTTTATGAAAACAATGCCTAACTTACAGCAAATAAATATGAACACTTGCTACCTGATCTGTCAATCGTTGACCGACATAACAGTAGGTAAAAATAGAAAGGATGAATGATATAAGCATCACAGACATAATTAACATAACTGTTAAGTCATTATTCTGCCATTCCTATAAGATTGACAATTGCAATACAAGATATTTATGAAATAATTTATTTTTAATTCTTTTGAATTTTTAATTTGATTAAAATATTATCAGTCTTAATTTTCATATAAAAATTAATTGCCAAATTATTACACATGAATAAAAGATTTTCAGGAAAAATTCGTCATTATTACCATAATAATATAATATCCTGAAAGGCATAAAAGTAGACTAGAACCCATTATTTCCACTAACCACACATATCGCATAGTTGCCTCTACTTGTGCTAGAAAACTGTAAATAAATAATTTGTTTATTTAATAATTATTTATTTATGAACGTCTATTTAATAATTTATTCAATTTTATATTTAAA